AAAATAACAGTTCCCACAAACTATTAGCTAATGAAGTACTCTTTTCACCCTCATAGAATGGCTCAAAAGCTAGAATAAATCATCACATACAAAGGATTTATGTTTAGGGAACAAAAAGGTCAAATAATATTTTTCTATATTATTAAAATAATAATGTCTTAAATTCTGAGTCATCTATTATGATAGGTGTTATTAAATATATTTGTGACATTGAGGAAAAATAAGACAAAGTTCAAAAAGTTATTTTATACTAAAACATTGTCTATGACTGTAAATAGTTATTAATATATTGATTTTGACATTTTTATTTATATATAATTATTTTAAGATGATAACAGTGATATAGATTTATTGTTAGTTATTATATTTTTTAAATTAATTTATATATGTATGCCAACTTATAGTAAAATATTAGATAAAATTTTTATATAAAATCATAAAAAATAATATCTCGTATCATATTAATATTAATATAAAAACATTGTAATTCCTGTTTTTATTATTTTATTTATTCAAAATACAAAAAAATTGTCTACACTGTAATGGAGTTTATTAACTGTAAAATGTTGTAGTTTTTATCAAAAGTCAGACAAATTGTAGTACTTGACACTATTAAAATATAAAATTTGTCTAACCAAGGTGTGAATTTAGAATTTTTTAAATGCAGCATAATAATAGATTAGAAAATGTTTGAAAACTATTATTCAATGATCTTTTTTTTTCTATGTACTCAGGGTTTACCAAAACCTTTATGCTTAGATATCATTATTTTAAAACGCAGTTAAAATACATAATTCAACACGTTAAACATGTTTGTAAAATACATTCTTGTTTGCTTGAAATAAATTTTATTTTTCTTAAAAATAATGCAAATTTAATTATACGAATGTTAGGCTGACACGAAAAAAATATTAGTTTAATTATTTTTTATAAAAACAAGGGATTGCAAATTAAGAAGTTGCCAAAAGTAGAAAATTGAACCAACAATCAATATTTATTTGTAGCAGTTTTCACTTTTGTCTACCATCTCAAGACGGTAAATTTTGTTATTGTACATCATACCTAGTTTTTAAGATAATTACTAGTTACTTGTTAGTAGTAATTAGTAAAAAACTGAATTTTCGAGTATAATTTTTTTTTAGTTAAACTTATAATTATGAAACTTTAACCAACAAATAGATAATTTTATTTTGAATTCATTGAGTATTGTTACAACACAATCTTATAGTTTTTTAATTAATAAATGTGATAATGTATTTAGAATTTGCGTATGACAATAATTGTTATACGTAAAATCTTTTATACAATTAAATAAATTTAACGAAAAATAATGAATTATTTTTATAAAGATAAAGTATAATTTAAATATTAAAGCATACATATTCAGAAAATCACTTTAAATCTTTTTTCTTAATTATTATTAATTATATTACTTCAAAATAAAATTATTTATTTGTTAGTTAAAGTTTTATAACTGTAAGTTATACAAAAAAAGTTATATTTGAAAGTTCAGGTTTTTTTGAAAAATGACACTGAAACTGAACTTTCAACTATTTAAAAATCGGTTAGGCTTGATTAACAATCCAAATTTTGCACAATTCTTATTAAACATCAAAAAATAATTTTAGGATAGTTTTAAAATTTATATTTTGTATGACTATTTTACTGTGTAATTATCGTTCGACTACTAATTAGTAATGATCTCAAAAACTAGATGAATAACTAGTGATAGAAAAAAACTGAAGCCAGATTCGGTATTAGCGTCAAAATTATTATCGAATTGATATAAAAATTGTTAACAATAAAAATGTTTTATTATTTGTTGTCCTGTGTTATTTAGTGCTCAGTTTTATAGCTTTTACAGTTGTTCAGCTGGACTGATAGTCATAGGACTCGGCGCTACTATTTTGTTAAAATATAATAGGAATGATGTCATTTTGGTTTATTTTTAAGGCTGGGTTCAATTTTAATTCAAAACAAAATTAATAATTGTCAATTGATTGAACTTATGCGTGTTCATTTTTTTAACAATCTCTTGCTATACAACCATACATATAATTAAAGTCTATTGTGATTAAGGTATTAAGTGTTTAACGTAGAAAATTCGTTATACTCTGTTTAAAGTAAATCTATTCATGTTTTTTCACTATCTGTTTAATGATTCATTTTAATATATGTAAAATATTCCCAGTTTTTCTCCGAAACGCTAGGTAAACAATTTTACAGTTAAGCATTGTAAAAATTAAACACTTCTTAGCTTTAATTTTATCTGTATGTAAACTTATTATCATAACTGCATTACGTCTTCATAAGTTCGTGCGCACATCTATGTACACTGATGCGATATTAAATTTATATATTCTTACGGCATAAGTGCACTCAACTTAAGTACATTATTTGGTAAGAATACAGATTTCCAACAAATCTATTCCCCTTGTTGTAACAATGTTAACTTTTTTTTTTACTTTAAATCATTACTTCCACTGATTTCTGGTCACGTTAATGTTCGATCCGTATTTTTTGTTGACGTCGTCTCCTCTTTTTCCATTTAATACATTGTTTTTCCTCATCAGCTACTGATTTTTACCACGACCGATTGACGAATGATGTTCCATAGGAACTCCACGAGCTTTTTTTAGACCCCCGTCGATAGACTGTAGACAGGGTTTTTGGTTAGATTTGGTGTACGTATTCCATTAGGAGACCATTGTAACAACAAGTAATAATGTATGTATTATGCAGTACATTGCTAAGGCGGATATAATGTGTATACTCTAAGTGCGTTCACATAATATAACAGAATACATTTGATCATATTATTATTATTATGGGTTTACTTTAACATATCAATACGATGGAGATGGCGAACGAATATATTTACCGGTTTTCTTTTACCGCGATAGGTGCGTACATATTTCATAAAAGTTTATACTAATATTTCTATGTATAAGTTTATCTGATCCGCAATAGATAGAGCCACATAGTGTTGATAGTTATTGAAAGCGCGTGTGAAATAGACCACACCGACTATCATATTTATACTGTACACGTACAGCAGATAATAATGGTAAACAAGTGTATGCGTGATGCATAATACATTAAAATTTGATCGAAGTATTGTAATAAACGTCGAGTTACATACTGTTTATATACAAGTGAATATACTACATGGAAAAATGAAGTAAATTGATTACATAAAAATCTCATGTTATTATTAAATGAATACGTTAAAACGATTAGAAAAATTCGCTATGAAGATGCTGATGTAATATTACTTACAAAATCAAAAAGAACTCTTTAGTGACTGTACTTTATCATTTATCAACTTCAAGTAAATTTATCAATTTTATTGTAGAGAAATGTTAAGTTTTTAAATCATACCATAGTTTTGGTAATTATAACTATATCTTCTACGAAGTGCGTAGTCGTTGCATACATTTTGAATTGTCTATTACTAGTGTTTGAATGCGCCGAGATCAATTTTAGGAAGACGTTGATAATAAATGTTTATAAAATGTGGTTCGTTTCAAAACTAAATGCTCAAGGTAGCTTAGTATTGCTATTTTATTGAGTCGTGACACGGTACCATGTTTCCCTCAGCCGCACATCACGTTATCAATTTATATAAAAGTATATCGAGATCTGAATGATAAGTGCATGGTGGCCTAGTGGTAAAGTTTATCTCTATGACGCCTTGGGTCACGAGATTCTAATCCAGTACCGTGTCTCTTTTTTTCACACGATTTCCGGCACATTTTCTATGACCAACCGTCGATCCCTGGCGGCCATATTAGTTGGCACAAACAAATTTTCTAGTTATATTAATTCCAATACAAGTAATTTTGAAAAAATTTAATTGTATTTAAATAAAATATACTCGTTACAATTTCATCAATAATATCATACAAATATAATAAAAATTAATAACTTGTAGCTAATATTACTTAAAATTAAAATTATATCAATAATATTAAATTAAAACTAAAAAACCTTTAACTAAACAAGCCACAAAAATTACTGAAAATTCGAGGATACGTTTTCGGGAACTATGTTACTATTATCAACGCAAAACGCGTAGTGTGATAGCACACACTAGTATGGGTTTAAAAAAATGATTTTTTTTTTTAAACCCATACTAGTCGTTTTGAAAATACATTTGCTTTATTGAAAATGAGTTAAAAATCTATATTTTATCATTTAATACTGATAAATCTTTATATTGATTATAATAATTTTGATATTTTACATTTGTGTTCAGAATACGAAAAAAATTGTTTAATAGTGTTTGTGAGGCGTATTGTGTATGCAAAATTAGTACTTGGATGTAATAGAATAAATCATATTTTTGTACTTTTCTGAACAGTTATTTCAGTCACTTTATTTTTTGATTGAAAACAAACTCCAATCGAGTTAGTAATAATTAAAAAAAAATTACTTTAAATTTGTTAAAAAGTTTTCTCAAAATTATTCCTGTGATCATTATTATACAACATAAACTCCTTTTTGTTTTATTATTCCTTTAACTCTACTTCCTGAGGTGTATCACCCTAACAATGACAGTTACATCATCAATAGTTCTCTAATTATTAGGTATACATTTTTTTTTGTATGTTTTATCTGCTAGTCAAGTACTAGAATTTGAATATTTATATGAATTTGATTTTTGTATTTACTGTTTACTTATTCTTGTGATATTGTTTGTTCACTACTTTAAATCAAATACCTACTTAGACGTATGGTAGTAAATATTTGGAAAATAATATCTATAAAAGTTAGGTTTTTATTTTACTTAATCTTAATTGATTATATGACGTTATATAACTGATAAAATCATGATTTTATATATAAACAGCTTTTTATATATAAAAATTAAAATACGTCGATCTTGTATTATCATTAAATTTAAGTCAATATTTGATATCCAAATAAAATAATTGTTTATAACATTAATAAATCTTATTTATCATAACGTCATAATTAATATATTCTTTTGATTTTAGATGGAACACTCACTCAAATGCATCCTTTCAAAGATAACGAACAATTAGCTAATTCTGTTAGTCAATCACTTCATGGTAAGTGTGGTATATTTAATTTATATTTTAAGTTTTTCATTTTTATTATGTATAGTATAATAAAGAGTATAATCGTTGATGCGGGTGTTTAAATTTGGGAGATTTAGAAATCTCAATTTAATAATCAAAAAACTAAAGAAAATTATACGTTGATATATATTGAATACAAAAGTTTTACTAGTTTTGTATAGTAGCACTAAGAAATATTTAATCTTACTCAGATAATTTTTAAAATCAAATGCTACGGATATAAATAAATAGAAAAACTTTAAAAATTGTTCAACTTTTTGATGTGTGGTACTTAGAGGGCTAACTTTTTGTTATATTGAGTGTAATATGTTTTTGGAAGTATGTCGTTTCATATTTTAGACAATATGGTTTTTTAATTTCATGGTCAACTGATCATATAAAATAGACAAATTACAAGTTTAAGTTGCGAATTGTGGTAAATTTAAGATGTCCGAAAAACTTTATGAGTGTTTAAGAAGGCCGAACAAATGTTGAACGTGTGAGAAATGGAGAAGTGGAGAGAACTTAAAATACGATAAATCTAGTAAGACTTGGATGATGTAAGGGGAAGTGCTGGTATATTTTACCTTTGCGAAATCCCCTCGTTGCCAACCTCCTTTTAACCGTCACACACTCTGAGCTTCTGGTCCCTTAAGACTTAAGTCGATTCTTCCGCTTCCGACCCTCGAGCCCAATGAATATCTACTTTGGGCCACCATAACTACCTTTCAGAGATAACGGTTTAATTAAGTAATAATTTAACACATAGCACCGCCGACGTTACTGCTGTAAAACAGACGCAAGAGAAAGAGGAATGACAGTATTTATACATTGGGATTACACAATAGGTTTGGCTACCGTTATACTAACAACAATATAACGACGGCAAATAGTCACGTAGAGTTCAATACGGCAAGTAAATAATTGTATACACTAAGAGAAATGAAGATGGGAATGATTCTTTTACGCAAAGATAACGTGATTCTATCAGTAGATTGGTCCAAAGATATTTCTGTTTAGGATTTCATTATTCAATTGAGGTTATATCATATTGTATGTATCAAAGCTGTAAAGATTAATACTTATTTGGCTTTATCATATGGAAAGCTACAACTAAAAGAAATAAAAATTTTGTTTAATATTGTAATTATTTTGATATAATTGAGTGGTTTATGATAAACTGAACATCCTGTATACAGGGTGGCCCACCACTCACTGACAACTTAAATAACTTTTGATCCAGTTAATATTTTTAGCTGATTTTTTTTTTAAATAATAGTTATACGTTAGGTCTATAGCTATATCTCAATAATTAATTTTTTTACATTTTATTAAAAATATTAATTATTTTTAAATTTTAAATAAAATGTAAAAAAAAAATCTAAGATAGCTATTTTGTAGAGTAGAATTTAAGAAAAATTTTAGTAAAAAAATATCTTATTAATATTCAGTAGTAAATATTCTGTAGCGTTTTGAAGTTTGTGAAAATTTGAATTTTCATGTATTATTTTACGGTATTAAACAATGAAATACGTATTCAAACTTTGCATTAATACCATAATAAGAAATTAGATAAGGAAATTATTACTTATCACTCTCATTCAAAAGTATATTGAAATTTTTATGGTGTATTTTGCAAAAATATAACTAAACAATTTAAAAAAAATTTTGAAGAAAAAAATTGTTGAAATTAGGTCCTCCAACAGAAATAATACACCTAAAATATGTGTATTTTTATAAAAATTCTAATTTTGTAAATCCCAAGAAAATTTTTTTAAATATTTGAAATTTAGTTGAAACATAGTTTATACACTAACAATACCACATTTGAAAATCAATATAAAATAATAACTTCTTAATAGTTTTAATTGAGCTCAAAAACGCCAGTTTTCACAAAAAAAAACGCCATTTCTAGAAAGTCATTAAAATTTAGAATTTCACATAATTTTTTTTTTATGTAAACTTTAAGTTATAATAAGATTATAATTAAGTGTAAAATTTTAATTCGATTAAGTCAATATTGAATAACCTGTGTGTTTTTTAACGTTCTGGCTATTTTAAACTTTTTTTACATTGAAATAGCCATAAAAGTGGAAAGATCATAAAATAAAAAATTGTTATAATCTAATTATAGCATAAAGAATAGGCCCTGAAAATTTAAGAAAATAATGAGGTTTTCGTACTTCTGGATGACTAGGCATGGATTGACATCACTTCTAGTAATGAATATATAATACTCAATCGAATGATATTATATATTTTATTATATTTAGTTAGTAAATAATTAATTTCAAAACTATTTCATTTTAGTAGAAGAGCTACTGTAAATTTAAAAATTATTGAAAACTTTCATCGTTTAATAATATGTTAAAAAAAACTTAATTCTTTTTTTTTATTCACAAAATCAAATTGATATAAGTTATTGATTTAAATAATATCACAATGAATGATTTGCTTTCTCTGAAAAATGACTATAAAGTATTATGGAATTAGTTCTCAAGAATCAACACTTTTACGAAAATGAAATGTTATATAAGGATATTAGTGTAACATGTAAAATTCAGCATTAAAGAATCAGTAAAAATCCTCTCAAAATCAAATAATTTAATGATAATTTTTTGTTGTTTCAAACTACATTTTTGTAATTGTTTTATATATTATTGTATAAGTAATATATAACGATTCAATATAATTATTATATATGTTATATTATTCAATTTATTATTTTAGTTGCAAAATAAAAAATCAATTAATTAAATTACTATGGTAACATTGTAAGTATTTTAATAAATAATCATGGTTTTATTCTAGTAATTAGAATATTCTATCTTTATACATATTAGTTAATAATATCTTAAGGCTTCTTATGATGCTGTTATTAATTGGTAAAATTTGTGTTTTCCCTATTTCCGAGAACAGTTTTACACAATTTAAATCTCATACTAGGTGTTTTTCGTTTTGCTGTACTTCTGAGGTGGGTATATTTATGTATAAACTTATTTTAGAAAATTATAGACAATTTTCGAACAAAAACTATTTTTATATATAACTTAATTTTTAAATTCTGAATTTTTAAAGTACACGTAAATTATGATATATGTGTATGTTTATGTATTTCTAATTCTAAGTATATATTCTTAACCGTGAGTTTAAATGAAACACTTGGTAAATTAGAAATTTTATATTTTTATATTGCGCAATAAATAAAGTAAATATGACATATACAAATTTGTTGATTGAATACTTTTCTAAGTTACTTTTCAAATATTTTATTCTATTAAATAGATCTCATTGTTCAAATCATCTTTTGTTCGGAAAGCGCCAGTAAAATAAAGTTAAACAAAATAATAATTGACAAATGTAAGTTATATAAATAATAACATCTGACAAATTTTGTTTTAAACAAAAAAATTGTAAATTAGAATTTGTTAAAGCAGGAGTAAAATTTTCTTCAATTTTTTAAATATTTATAAATATATTTTATATTATCAGTATATTTTATTACTATTGTTTCATACACAGACGTCGATACAAGGAGCAATGTCCCCCCAAAACAAAAATATTTTATAAAAAAAAAGTATCCCTATATTAAAGAATAGCTTTCACTTTAACAGAACAGTGAATTATCACTAAAAATTTCTTCTGGATTCAAATTACTTTTAAGATATTAAGAAATTTATATTTTTTTCACTCACTATAACTTATTTATTTTTTATATTGACGTTAAAAAGAAAATTAGAAAACAAATTTTATTGAATCTTTATTAATAGAATGATCTATGTACCTTTTATTCTGAGTCAGATTGTACAGAAACTCAATAAATCTTTTGCGCAGATTATAGAGAAGTGTAAGACTAGCATGAAGTTCATTATAAATATGGTCAATTTTAATTAAACAACTTTTTTAATTTATTCACTTGAGTATTATCACCAAAATAAATTTTGTGTTTTTTTCGTGGCCACGTGTCATTTATTACTTTAAAAATACCTAATATTTTGATCATAATAAATATATCAAAACATTTTTAACAATGTCAAAATTTCATTTATTAATAAGTATATAGTTTATAAATGTTTGAGTACTTTTTTAAAATAGATGAATCTGAGATAAGCTGAAGTAGTTTATTTTTAATCTTAAAACAAGGATATATTCTAAATAAAATTTATTTTGATGACACCATTCTTTCATGACACCATTATTATAGTGGTGTTCTATTCTGATATTTATTTCTCTGTATTGTAGCAGTTGGTACCATTTAATAGTAAATATTATTTAGTATCAATAAATAAACTCTTAAAACAATAGTTGTGCTATAGCTAAAGTTTCAATTCAAAAAATAATAAAATATTTCCTTAAAAAAATCTAGATAAAAATATTGCTTTTACCAAAGATGTCACAACTTTGAGAAAATGAGAAAAAGTGACTAAATAAAAGAACATGATTTAAAATTTTTGGTCTTTATACTTTAGTAAACCACAGACCAATTAGCAAAAAAGTTAGTATAATGATTATAAAGTAGTAAAATTATACTTTTATGTCTCTAGGGATTAGTTTATTCGTACAAGCACTAAAAATCCTTGTAATCACAGTTTTTCAAAAGAAATTTTCTTTAATTGTTATTTTTTACTTTTTATCACTCTTTTCGCTCTCTTAAAAAAAAAAATCATCAATGTTATATCAATTTATTAATCGTAGGTTATAATTATTATTTACTTTTTAATAAATGTATGTTCAATAATATTAGTTCGACGATAATTACACAAGAAAATTTAGACCGTACATCATGAAAATATTAAAGAATTTTATATTTGATATTGTACATTAAAATTGAACACAATTATTTTAATTAAAAAAAAATAAAAGATTATATCACAAATTGTTCAAGTATTATCATGTAGGTAAATTATTATTGTTTTCATCAACAATTAAATTAACAGATTAACTGTTTTTATGTAGGTGTGTGCAAAATAACTTATATAACTCTAGTAGTG